CATCAGGAAGGCAGTGGAACAATAGTTGGGATTGTGTGAAAAGTCTCCGATTACAAGGCTGAACGATTACAAAGATAGTAGAGTTGTCCAGCGTGACAAAGACAAGACTGGAAAGGACATTAAGACCTCCTGAATTTCTCCAGCTTTTAGTGATGGCATCAGTCAGTGCTGTGCTTCCAACAAAGTGGAGTGCTTTGCCTTCGGCCTTTATTAGTTTCTATAAATCATTGTGTCAGCCTCCAGGAGTGATGGGACGGTGTTAGAAACCTTCCTGTATTGAAAGCATCTCCTCTGGGTCAATTCCAGTGCAAAGAGAGATTAGCTACGTGCGCATGAAGTATCCTGCACATTTTCTGTGGATAAATAGAAAACGGATTCCAGGTCTGTCAGTCAAAAAACTTTATAAGTGCACTTGAGTTAAAAATAAAAAGATAAAATATTGCATTTAGAGCGTACTTTGTGGTGTTGCTTTCAAATGCAATAATAAATTGTAGGAGGCAGAGCAGAGATAGTGAGCAGTGATACCGAACGGCTGACTTGCTTTTTAAAAGTCATCTTGTGATGTTGTAAAGCTGCGCAGTGATTTGGAGCCTCCTCAGGTGCTGTCCTTCCTTCAGCTGAAACATCTGAGTTTCCAGGTGGTGACAAAGCCTGAAAGGAGAGACCAGGAGAGGAACTACTGGAAGAGAATTTCTGTTTGGAAATGCTCCGGCCAAGAGAGAAGAAAGCTTCTGGGTCAGGAAGTGTGTGTGTTCTTCAGCAGCGGTCTGAAGGGAAGGGCAAACCTAGAAACTGGCTTGGCATTGTAGCCGCTTCACTTGCAGTGTTTAAGCTCATTACAAACTCATGGAAACATTAATCGGGAAAGGCAATGACCCCATACGCTGAGGACAGCATGCTAAATTCTTGTGGTTTATACCTCAGCCTCTTGTAGCACAAATGTCTTAGCTGAAGGCAGACATTCAAAAGATAAATGGGTCACTGCAGTTGTATTTATTGGTTCTTCTTTCTTTTAATTTGAGGCAATGGTGGTATATTTTCTTTCCTTTCCAGTTTATTATCATTGAAGTCAGCGATGGTATTTCAGTTTCACCATCTATCTCCCCAAGAAATCCCAGGCAAGACTTTTGTTCACAACTTTAGCTAGGTTTTTGGTCACTTGCAACATGGTTGGAATAGAAGTAGGATTAGATTATGTATATATGAAATAGGGTGTTATTGCCACACAGCAATGTCATTTTGTGGATTTGGGGTGTGTTAATATATCATTGTATTGGACTGTGGCAGTGACGCTGGAGGCTTCAGTCAGCGGCACACACGTGGTCCCCTACTGCCATTTAAGACCCCCTAAATTATGTGCAGTGTCCACTGGGGCTGGTAGATGTGACACAGGATAGCATGACACTTGTGTCTTCCTCAGCTGGCAGCTGAAAGCTGAGCAAGGTCACCCAAAATGACACTGGACTATGGATAACTGGATCAGACCTTACATGTCCTACAAGTCAGGAGCATCTCCACGACAGCCAGTGCAGTTACTGGTGTAAAGGGAAGAACAAGGTGCTCACTGGGGCTTGTTCAAAGGCAATTGCACCGTTTCGCAGTTATGTCTTCCATGTGTTTTCTCATTTTAAGGTGGACATAATTGGGCAACATGATTGTGAATTATCTGTGCCATCCAAATAGAGAGATCGCTTGTTGTCATGACAACAAAAGATGGTGAGGTGTTTACTTGAAAGTGAGTTCTGCACAAGCGTTCACATCAAGCTGTATCTGAAGATCAGTGTTTGAAGAACTATTCTTCAGAGAGTCCATTCCTCCTTTAAAATATTTGCTGTATTTGTGCAGTTTCACCCCAGGATATATGGAAGACGGCTTTTTGAAAGCTTAATCCAGGACAGAGCATACGCTTTTATTTTCAAAAGGCACTCTTTAGTTCAGTAATGGAAATCCTACCTAGACTACAAATAGCGGCATATGGAAAAGCCAGCCAGTCAACTATCTGCTGTTTATATAAAAGGAGTTTGTAGCGAAGAGAGTTCCTTTTAAAATGAATCATATGGTAACTCACTTTTATAATCCTTTAATATCTTTTTGGCGTTAAAAGGTATTTGGGTTTAAGAGCATGCTTTGTGATATTAATTTTATCTCACTGAGCTTTCTTTCGTGTATAAATCTGTGCTGGGGCAGAGGAGATATTATTTATTAATTCCTTGGAAGTGCCTTTTATACAATGTGTACTGAAAGAGAGGTGTATATTTGATATTCAAATAGGGCAAACTACTACTCTTCTCTATGAGTAAATATGCTATGTATAAAAAGAACTGTGTAAGTGCTGCATACCATTAAATAGTTACCTGACTGCCTTCTTGTTGTAGTTACCTTTTAGTATACTTCCAGCTGCTTACTCTCCAGAAAGATCTTCATTACCTTTCAGTTAAGCTTAAGAAGGTGCATTTGGTTGTGTTCATTTAATATAAACAGAGAATGTTAACACTATCATAGAGATACAGAAGCTGCAATAGCCAGTAATACTGTTTGAAATTCTTCAGTCATAGGTTGGGTTTTGATGGCTAGATATTAAATATAATGATAATATGCAGCACACATTTGTATTTTAAATATTTGTGTTTCTACAAGTGCATAATTGTAGTTAAGGAAGCTAGAGACAGAGGAGTAGGGAAGAAGTTGATGAGAATGCTTAAATAGGACTTGCAGTTCTTACACAATATGAAAATCTAGCTGAGTCATTTTTTATGTATCAAGTGTTGCTATTTGAAATTTGAATTGGAAATAAAAAAGTTTCAGTAAGGATTTAATACATTTGAAACCAGGTTTTTTTTCTGTTTTTTGGTTAGAGCACCTAGCTCAACTGTGTTATGGCCCAGGAGTTGTGGTGTTGTAATCCCAATTAAGAAAAAAATACTGATCTCAGAAAGAACTTGGCACTTTCTGAGGCAGGTCAGGACCTTGAAAAGTCAGATCTTTATCCAGTCCTCCTCATTTTATCTCTGTGCTTGTCTCTTAAATATTTCAGTAGTCCTTTAATCAAAACAAGAATGTGTGACTTGTTAATTTGAATTATGGAGCATGGGAAATACTATTTAGTTATTTATTTCAAGTAACAATAATACATCAAAGATTGGTGTCAAAGACTCCTTAGGTTAATGAAAGGGGCACTATCAGTGATGGTGAGGAAAGAAACTGGAATAAGACCAGAAAAGACAAGTGGCATGACTGGATTTGTCAGACATTTGTAAACATCAATGGCAAAACATATATTAATCATCTGTTTTTCTTGCAAGCCTAAAAATTGTGAACTTGTGCCAGTTTTCTGTACCACTCTTTTCTGGTGTCATACCTGATGAGTTAACTGTAACTCATTTCCTCTGTCAATGAGACCAACTGGCTATGTTGGTAACCCGCCACATGTCTAGCGCTGGTGCTCCCAGATCCTCCCTCCCCCACTGACTCCGTGTATTAGCTCTGTTTGGAAAGTCTCATTGGAAATTAGTTGTGTAAGAGAGAGGCCAGGTTCTGGCATCCCTGTCAAAGGAACATTGGTTTTATGGGGTGCGTAGGGACATCAGCATTACTGCCTTTTCTTTTGGGTAGCCTACAACGCCGCTAATCTGAATTGCCTCAAAAATACTGGAGTTGTTCAGGGAGTGACTGGATGATAGCTGGCTACTTGTACATTGATCAACATGCCCTGAGACTGTCAGGGTGCAGGTTATGCCTACGGCAATGTAACAGACGATATCAAATAAAATTACTGGACTACTGCGGCATGGGTCAGCTTGCCTCCTTACAGTGCTCGTGTTTCTCCTGCACGTGCCCTTTGGCTTCCTGTATCAGACAAGCTGAGGACTGGACATGTTGTCCATCCCATTTCCAGTTCTCCCTTGCCTTAGGCAAGGGTCAATGAAGACTCTAAGGAATGAGCTATGAAGGCACTGAAGAGGTAGAAAGGGCAGCATGGTGTGTTGGGAGCAGGATGCCAGGCTGAGGTGGTACCAAGGGGCAAGGAGGTGGGCTGGGAATGAGCAGACAGGCCCCCATTCCTTTGGCTGATAGATATGGATGATGCAAAGGGAATTTTACTCCTGTGTGCTTTCCCTTGAATCCCAGGAAGCTGTAGAGCAGGAGATGGGCTCTGGGAAAATACTACAATTACAGGTAATCTTGTTTGTCTCAATTCTTTAAAGGTCAAATAATTCAGTGTATGAATTGACAATGTCTTGCAACTCTGACATCCTTTCTTGAAGGTTTTCTATACTGTTTCCTGCTCTTGTTACTATCTCTTCAGGGATTCCCCTTTGTATTTTACTTTCTGTTCCATAAGCGTGAAATTTGGAGAATAACCTCTCTATTGGCCAGCTGGTGCTAGGCCAGCCATCATTTTATATAGTCCTCTGGAGCCCACCTTGGATCTTCTTGCTTGGAAGTAGTCCCATTGATTGTAAATCTCTTATATGGCAAAGGCTCTGGAGTAGGGAGCATCTTTGTTCTTTCTAGTGACAGTGAGCCTGCAAAGCAGAGCAAGATGAAGAAACCTATCTAATATATTGACACGTGACTTCTGATACGTTCTCTGTACAAGAGACAAAGATACGTACAAGCCAACTGAGAAAATAACAGCTGTGATGTTGGAGAGCAAGCAACAGAGGCGTGTTCTTTTGCTTTCTCAGCCAGGAGTAGCTGCAATGATATGTTTGCAGTTTATAATACATTGGTTTCCATTATGTGTAAGAAAGAGTTGAACAGGTCAAGTATTGGAGTAATGATACCTGTACACACATTGTAGTTAGTGTCAGCCCTTCATGCTGCTCACATTAAATTTTTAATTTTCTTTCAGCAGTACACATGTGTAAATTGACAGTCATCTAAATGTAGAAAGGAAGGGGTTGCTGAGAGTCATAAAAGAAGAGTGAATTGAATATATATCCAGCAAGTTAGCTACGTGGGTAAGAGGTGTTTCATTGACTCTTTTTGCCTTGCAGGAAGAATGCAAACAAATACTGGCTCGGCAGAAATCCAGTTCCCAGTCTGATTCTCATGATGATGAGATTTCCCCTCCTCCTCCCAACCCAGTGGTAAAAGCTCGACGCAGGAGAGGGGGGGTCAGTGCAGAGGTGTACACGGAGGAGGATGCTGTTTCTTACGTCAGAAAGGTAATGTGTTGCCATCTATCTGATTCTGAGATGTACAGGACAATCAAGTGACTCATATTTTGCTCATAATTTGGAATCATGGGTTATCCTGTAGGATGATGTCCTCATGTGGGCATATGCATGGCTTGACCATCTTCTTCACCCTCAAGTTCTTTTGCTGCCTCCTTGACTAAGTACTTTCCCCATTAGTCTTGCTTCAGCATTCTCTGTTATTCCTGGTTTTTGAGATGTGCCGCTAACCTGTTTCGCCCTTTAACAGGGTGGGTAATTCTCAGCCATTTTCTTGATATTCACAGACTGCGGCAGCTTCTGAGTTTTGTCAGAACCTCACAGTTTTGGAAAGCAGCCTTTTTTATTGCTGCGTTTCCTACTTTTTTTTCTAAAAAGTTCACGGCTAGCTCCAAGTTTTGTTCTAACCGAGGTCATTTAGGTTCCCCAGACCATTGTGGCATATGGTTCCCATGTTGATTGGGTACCACCTAACCCATGTGGTTTTGGAATTCTGTTGACCATACTTGGGTGATTTTAAGTGACCATTGTCTGTGAAGAAATGCCAATCCCAAATTAGGTAATTTCTTCAGTAGGAGCGCTAATTTGGGCTTTTTTTTTTTAACTGCCTTTTTCACAAAAGTATCTAATTATTTTATATCCTTGATATCTCTTAATAACTCTTCAAATTTTTTTTGAAACTGGCCACAGCTTTCAAAGGTTGTTAAAAGACAGATATTACAAGAACATATGTCATGTTCGTTTAGGGAGCTCGGCTAAAAATGCGTTTCATAAGGTTGACAGATGCTACTAATGTGCTTTTGTGCATGCCTAGAGTAGCTTTAACTGGAAGAGCTTTTTCTTTACGGGAATCCATTTTGTCAGTCACTATTTTTTGGCAGAATACTTTATGCCTTTGCAGTCAGATGTGCTTTTGTCATCCACTTATGATACAAGTTCACTGGCTGCCCTGGGAATTTCTGTCCCAAGGAACAAAGAATTAGAAGAGCCTTTCATCCTAAAAACAAGTATGGAGAAGTATTCTTGTGGCAGTTAAATAATGCTTGCAAGTATACAGTAAATTTTAACAGCACTGTGGTCAAGCTATTAATGCACTACGCAGTTAAAAAACTTGTGTGATATTTTAAAAGCCACTTTCAAACACTTTTCTTTCTGTGCAGTTTGCAATATCCCTCTTAAAAACTTCCATGAAGAGATCACATTTGTCTCTGCTTAATATGGGCTCCATCTGACTCTTCTGAAAATCAAAGGAAATATTCTTTCCCACACCCCTGAGTAATTCTTTTATGTTTATAATGGAATCTGAAGTTAACTTTGTTTTCTTCCTTTTTCAACAGTGATGCCAATAAGCCCTGACAGTAGCATGAGTAGGCAAGAGCCAGAAGCAGCAATACAGATCATATTCTGTGTGTTCTGTGACTAGGGCTGTTGTGATTTTAATTTCCTAGGAACTGACTGAGCCTAAATAATAGTAATTTAGGGGATGGTTTCTTGTCAGGCTACAGATGCTGGAATATAGAACTAGCATTGGGAGGGTTTGTGTCAGTGCTTTGTCTTCTCCCGTCAGCAAATGAATCCCATGGTGAATCCCATGGATGTGTATTTGTGACAGAGATTTCTAGAATACAGAAATAAAGAGAAACACTGAAAGGATGAATTATGAAACTAATTTAAAAGTGTAAAAAGCAAGGCAAAGGTTGTGTTAGACTATTGCAAACAGATGGATTTTTAGATAGTAGCCAGGAAGAACCACTGGCTTGAATTCAGGTGTTGGATAGAAACACATCTGGGTCATAAGCCAATTTAAAGGATCCCTTGAAGTGGTGAACTATAGAATGAGTAGTGCTAAAGGCAGTGCAATGAGTTATGTCACTGGAGAGAAAAATCAAAAGAGATTTAGCTTTGTGATTTGAGCAAGCACCTGGCATGGCTCCATTCTGAGGAGCACAAAGGAAGATCTCTGTGGAGGGTTATTTCATTGCTTCATTCCTGAAACTAGAGAAAGCAATATTTGTCAACACATGTGACATAACATATAGTTAACAACTAACAGAATAGGAATCTTACTGTAAAGAGGGTTATCAGCTTGAAGAGAACATTCAATGTTTACTTGGAAGGGTGATGTAAGAAATGGTCAAGTGACTCTTCCCGACATTTGATTTTGGTCGGATGCCTGGTTACTGTGACACCTAAAGAATCTCTCCTGTGTTTTCTCTGTCCCTGCCCCAACAGACCCACTTTGGTCTCTGCCTTGTGGCTTTCATTGCTGCAGATTTAGACTGAGAAAGGCGAGTCTATGCTGTTCCATGATCAGCCAGAAAGGTTGGAGTTGAATGTCTTAGTGATTTGATTATCTACCCTTTTGGCTCATCAGCAGTAAGCTGAACAGCTAGGGGATTCTTAATAGAGCAAGGGTTCAGGACTGCAATTCAATCCAGGGCTTGTGTGATACGGTAAAAACCAAGAATAAAATGGCCAAATGCGTATTTTATTTAACATCAAGGAATTTAAACTTTTAGTTAAATTAGATTACGTTTCGCTCTGATACAAATATGCAGTGTGTACATATATGCTTCTCTAGACTTAATCTGAGTACTCTAATGACTACAGGAGTCAGTATAAGTGATGTCTGAAGCCAGAGTTTAACTTTAGATTTCACAGTGCAGTATTTTCCCTTGAAATAAATCTAGATCAGTTCTTTGTGAGACCTGGTTCTACATCACTTTTCCCATTTGAGACATCCTTTTTCTGGTTGGATGGGTAGTATCTTGCCTTTCCAGGATAAGGAAAGGAAACTACCTACACATCAGCCTACTTAATAGCTTAAATAAGAGAGAAATACTAGTTCTATCATAAGAAAATGTGAAAGATACATGTCCATTATCAGACCTCTTTTGTACAGTAATTAAAACAGGCAAACAGATGTTGGTCTTCAGATTGCAGTAAGGTTTATTTAACACTTAAAACTTTTGTAGGCTTGATTCTGTCCCATTATAATGAAACTATTAAGGAAAATCACATTACTGAAGTCAAAGAACATCTGTTACAAGTGATAACCTTGTTACAAATTTCTTGTGTCTCTTGTAATCACAAAGTCTCTGACTGGCAGCAATAGATGCTTGGCAAATATAGAGATACAGTGTCTTCACTAATATGTTACCAAAATGCTTACCGAAATGGAAAGCCTAACTTTCAAAAGTCTTATAAAAAAACTTCACCCGATATGAAAATATACTCCTGAATTTCAACATATATTTTGAGCAAATTCATGTACAACAGGACTTTTGCCTTCTCCCCAATTAACAAATAAAAATGCCTCTTCATTCTCAAATGCAAGTCCTTCTCGTTTGCCATGAAGCAAATGCACAGGATTTTGACCCAGGTGGGCCTCTCAGGAGCTCTGTTCCTTGTACCACAATGAGTACTGAAAAATATGGTGTGATCAACACATTCTTACCTTTTACCTAAAGAAATGCTGCTCATTCCCTAATTTTAAAAGTAGGTTGGTTCTGATATTGTTTGAGGGAAAGAAGAATATGAAATATGTTTCCCTCAGTCCAAGAGATTTGAAAGGAGACTACACAGCTGCCAGTACCTGCTAATTATAGTATTTTATGGATATCCTTCTCCCCAGTCATCCTAGATCTTATATTTCTTTTCTGGTTGTCATACTGAGAACATAAATTCTTATCCTCACATTAGCAAAACTGTAATTTATTACTTTCTTAGTGGCTTTATATTATAGCCTAAACCTGTCTTAGTGTTTGAAATCAAACTGCATCCATTATCTTGAATAGTGAAATTTTCTATAGATTTCAAGATCTATGAAGAAATACAACCAGGCATGTAATTACCCTTCCTTCTTTTCTCTACAGGTTATTCCAAAGGACTATAAAACCATGACTGCTCTGGCAAAGGCCATCTCCAAGAACGTGCTCTTTGCTCATCTTGATGACAATGAACGAAGGTATGAGATGCTTTATGATTTAAAGGAATCTATAGCTTGACCTGAGGACAAGAAATTATATTAAATTTTAACTCAGGGATCAGAACTACTCTCACCGATGCATTTGAGGCATACTACATGCACCCTTACACACACTTACGGTATTATGACAGAGGGTAAAATCACAAGCTAAAAAAAGGGCAAGAGCAGGATAGAATGTATACAGACATATTTGATATTTTCAAATCAGCTGTGCCTGATTAACTTTATTCTAGGGTACTAAAGGAATTGGCTAAAGCAATCTCAAAAGCATTTGTAGTTACTTTTGAGAACTCAGGGATGACAGGTCAAGTGCTGGAAGAATCAGGAAGAAAAAGCATAATGTCTATAAAGTACAAGAGAATTACAGGTAAATTATTTTGTTCTTTGAAAAACTGGAAAAAACAAATTATATGTAAGCACCTGAAGGAGACCAAGGAGTTCCGTAACAGCCAACATGACTTTTAAAAACTTGAAAATGTCTTTTTACAACTGAGTAGGAAGTCTTGTATCTAGGGAAGGCACAACAGAGGCCAAACAGCTTGACTTCCAGTAGCGTTTTTGACATCAATGTGTATAACACTTTCATAAACAATCAAGGGGAACATGTCTTCAGTGAAACCATTATGGAGTCTATGCAAAACTGATTGGATACCCATACCAGATAGCAGTTATCAACGGTCCATCATTCTAATGGAAAGATATATTGAAGTGTGGGAAGGGTTGGTCTGGTTTTTATCATTATTGTCATTAATGACCTCAGTGGTGGTATAGAGAATGAGTGTTGAATTTTTAGATGACATGACAATGGGAAGGGCTGCTAAAACACTGGGAGACAAGGCTAGAATTCAGAATTATGCTGATAGGTTGAAGAAATGTTCTAGTAAAAGCAGGATGGATTGCCACTGAGCCAAGTGCAGCGAAGTATACTTAGGCAGGAAGAACACCTTTATAACTATAAGATGGTTTTGCCATTTTGGTAGTTCCTTGAAAAACTATGTGGAGCTTATTGTGAATCATGGTCTGAACATTAGTCACTAATGTCAAGCTGTTCTGAAAATACTAACGTTTTACTGGGGTAACTAAACAGGGGAACATGCAAGACGTCCCGGTGTTGGAAAGATTCCAGCTGGAACACAGTGTCCAGTTTTGGGCACTGCACTTCAAGAATAAACAGTTGGAGGAAGTTCAGGGAAGAGCAGTGGGAATGGTCACAGATCTAGATAACATCAATTCTGAAGAAAGAATGGGATTGGTTGGCACACAGAAGACAGGTCAGGGGCAGAGGGACACGATAATAGCTTATAATTGTGTATGAATAATGATATATGAGGAATAAACTGCTGTGTGTGCCAAAGGGTAAAGAATAACAGATTTAAAGTGCAGTAGGAAAGAGTCAAGTCAGATACTAGGAAGAGGTCTCTGACTGCTTGGGTAGGTTGTGGAGTCTCCACCACTTGAGGCCATTAAGAACAGATTAGACTACGGTCTGCCAGGAGTGACGTAAGTAGCGTCAGTCCTGCCTTGCAGCAGATAGGCTAAGTGATGTTGCAAGGTCCTTGCCAACCCTACTTTTCTGTGCTTCTGTGGTTAGAAAGGACAAAGACTTTGTCTACGCTGACGTTTTTAGTACTGGCAGAACATCAGCAGTACAGTCCTTCAGTGGGGCTACTCACACGTTTTCAGTCAAAGCATGTTCCACGTGTGTAAATTTTGCTCCCTCTTGCAGGCTTTCACACAGTTTAATTACTTTGCAATCCTAATTATTATGATATCACATTAGCATGCAGATTTCTGGAGTAATTAGAAGAGGATTAACTTTGCACATTTCCTCTAGCTTTTTCACCCACAGCAGAGAATTCTTGTACAGAACTGCTATAAATCCTAATTATACTTTCGGCATGCTAAGGTGACAGGCACTGGTAGGGTAGGTTTTAGGGCTGGAAAAGGGATATTTTGGTAATATGTTATCAAAGTAGGGTGAGAGAGAAAAACTGAAGGAAAAGTGCTTTTCCTTGCACTGTGCTGGTTGTACATTGTGGTCATGGTCTCTCCTATCCGTTCCCTATGTCCCATTTAACATTGTCAGCCAGACTGTCCTGTTATGGGTATGTGTTAGGAGTGAAGAGATGTGCACAGATTCCTATGTGTGTGCTGCAGATGGGCTGTAGACTATCTGCTTTTGCAGTCCTCAAACTATGGCTTGACCAGGTGTATACTGCCTTTGCTGTCAAAAGATTTAGAAGCTTCTTGGTTTCTGGGCTGTGCACTGGAGCATCTTCAGCTATACACCATCTCCCTTGCTCAAAGGATGATGTCTAGGTGCCTCATTCAAGCCTCATGACAAGTACGGCAAGCTATTGCTGACATTGGGAAAAAAAGGAACTCACAGAAGGACGCATGCATTCTGCTTTTGTAGACAGGATTGCAATGAACAAATAAATTGTTCTCTCTTTCCACTGTACTGAGCTCACTCTTGACATCATGCTATTGCCCTTGTCTGGTTTCGTTTGTCAAGTGTGGAGAAGTCATCAAGTTGGAGCATGCCATTGCCATCACTTCTAGTTTGTGTCTTGTTGATGCAGATACGTAGTTCAGTAAAGTAGTGGTGTATGACTTTGTCTGGGTTCTGTCCTCTTGTAATGGTGGAAAGCTAGGTGAGGATGTTTCATTTTCTGTGCTGCAGTGGTGGTGTTGGTGTTTATTTTCCTCAGTGCTTTCTACACTGAAGACAGTATCATTGTTTCATTTAATTTTGTGGTTGACCGTTTGCCAAGATGTATGAGGTGTTCAGGTGGGGGAAGGATGGACCAGCAGGGCTTAATTCCTCATTTAAAATGGATGACTCTTGCATTTTTCCTTCTCCTCTGAAAAGATATTTATGTTAGTCTGCTCTATGGCTATGCAGTCCACATGACTTGTGTTGCACTTGCTGCTTGGCAGCTGTGAAGGTCCTTATGTCTGACATAAACCCTTATTTATAAAGGCAGCGTGTAGCATATTATCTCTGTGTCGAATATTCCATATGAATTATTAATTGCATGAGAAGTCATGCTGAAGTTAAGGTAAACAAGTATCTTTTTGCACTGGTGTCTGAAATAGTTTTGTTCAAGTCTTATTTTAGATAGCATCTTTTCATGTGCCATGCTTAAAAAAGGGTTGCCATCTATCTCATGCATGCACGGACACACACATGCACATACACACAGTCTCTGGTGTAAAATTATACTGAAAAGTGCAGTAAAAGGGAAACTGTAATTGCATCAGTACTAAAAGCAGCAGAGAGAATTATCAGCAATGTTTGCCAAAATTTTCATTTCAGGAGTCACTAATATTATAAAGAACAGTGCAGCTCTAAAAAGTGATGTGGCAGTCCACTGTTTTCTCATGAGACTTTTCCACTGACTTCAATAAGATCTTGATTAAACTCTGGAGTAGGGTCCTGGTTCTCTCAAAGCCAGTGGCAAAATGCCCATTATTTGAAGTGGAAATGTGCTTTTAACTGTTAGAGAGCTGTTGTTCTCATTTGCAAAATCAGGAATGTGTGGTTTTTTAATTGTTTCCACACATGTGCACCTGATGTATATTTTCTGTGCATCCTCCTTTGCCTAGAGCTGGTCTGTTACATGCACACTGACAACAAAACCTCCAATTTACATGGATGTATCACATGCTCATTATCCAAAATTTTTTTTAATTGATGAGAAACTAACCATAAAAAGTTAAAGCAACATCAGGGCTTCACTAAATTAATTTCTTACTGTGTTTTAATAGCTATAGTTTGATTTTGATTGTTTATTAAAATATCGCACATCTAACAAAAGTACTGGACTATATTAAAAATTTCTGTGAAATAGTCACAGGCAGGGTGAATATTTATGAGCTCTGGGGGAAAGAGGGATGTTAAGGGGGTGATGGGCTGCATCATGGACTAAACAGCTTAGTGAGTTGCAGAGAGTACATGGTTGCATGTCCGTGTGCCTGCCTTTGGGCTCATCCTCGTTTCTTGTCTTGTTATAAGCCCAAACTCAGTTACAAGGTTCTCAAAGTAGCCTCATGTCATATGTACTTTGATAGGGTTTGCTTCCCCGGTTGGGATGTGTGGCAAAGCCCTTTCACTTTGTTCAGGCTTGATGTATCTGCTTTGCAGCTGGGATGCATTTAATGCCTGGGTACTTGGGCTTGGATTTTGATAGTGCTGTTATATCATCCTGCAGGTCCCTAGGCATGTGTGCTCTAACTTCTCTCTCTTCCTTTCCCTCACCCCATACGATGACATATTGGCTGGCTTATGTCCACACGAGGGTTTTCCCCTTCGTTTTGTTTCTTCCATACTCCAATTCCTTTGTGACGCCACTCAAAAACTCTTGGAAGAGACTGCTCAAAGGTTTTATTAGGTGGGCAGTGGAGCTTGTTAGTCAAGCTCAGATGTGAGGGCAGCAAGATGTTTTGGAAAAGCATAGTTCATACTGGTGTGCAAACATGATGCAGAAGCTCTGGAGATGGCCACCAAGAGGACAGTTTTCCTGGGCAGAGAGCATTCTGAAGACCTGATAGTTATGATCACTGCAAGATCAGCAACTCTGTGCCTATCTGGTCCTGACTTGGTGCTCACCAAAGCCTCGCATACACAAGCACAGTCCTTCAAAACAGCTTCTTGTGTGACAGCTCTGAAAGATCTTCTTGCAGCATAGGACAACTTCTGATAAAGAAGACAGTGCTGTGAAGGCTGTGCATCCAGAAGAACTAGGAATTGCTCTGCGGTCTGTTCAAAGATGAACAGCCTTGAGAGAAAACATCGGTGAAGCAGGAGCTACAGCCAGGTAAGAGGCATTCACCCTCTTTTTCATTATGCTGGGGAAAAGTGAAATGGCAACATTAACTGTGAGGGATTTTTGCATTATAAATATAAATTTATTTTTTATAGATGATGTTCCTTGCAACAGTTTGTCTTTAACATCGGTTGAGGTCAGAAGCCATCT